TCTTGATGGGGAGGGACTTGTGCCTGGCGGTTTACAGCTGGGGTCGAGGGAGGAACGTTGAGGCTGTAGCCTTCACTTGGGGACACCTGCTTGGCCAGGCATCCCGGTGAGTGCCCGGAGAGCTGTAGGAGGAGGCTGGCCGTGGTTTTGGCAAGCAGTGTCGGAAGTGGCGAAGACACTACTTGACCTTTCTCTTGTAGCCCAGCTCAACATCGGCAATGTGCTCCCAGTGGGCACCATGCCTGAGGGCACCATCGTGTGTTGTCTGGAGGAGAAGCCTGGTGACCGAGGGAAGCTGGCAAGAGCCTCCGGAAACTATGCCACAGTCATCTCCCACAACCCTGAGACAAAGAAGACGCGAGTGAAGCTGCCTTCGGGCTCCAAAAAGGTCATCTCCTCTGCCAACAGAGCTGTGGTCGGTGAGTGGAAGGCAGCGGTTGTATGCTGTGGGTCTCCTGTGGATAGCCAGCAGCTAGACGAGCCAGGAACACAGTTGCCTGCTTCACTCAAGTTTGAGCACAATGTGTGGTCTAATTTGGGATACTTATTAAGTGGGTGTAAGTAGTTCCTGTTTAACTCCTGGTTGGGTGTTGAATGAGAATGGGTTCAACATGCTGGACTCTATAAAGTAAAGGTAGGCTTAGCTGCACTCTGGGATAACCTAGATTTAGGTGATTTTTGCTTTTGTGGGCCACCTGGTTAAAGCCACACAGTGTGTTGAAATGCATATACTCAAGTTTGTTGGCTGACAACATCTTTGAAGCCTGGGGGGAGGCTCTGGAGGGTGTGCTCACAGAATAAGCAAAACAATGGCAGAGAAGTGGTGGGCCAGGTCAGCTGTCCTGTTTGGGGTGGGGAGGAGCCTAGTGTCAGACCCTGCAAAGGGGAGGACTTCTGAAAAGCCATGGCTCAAGGTGGGCATTCCAGGTGATGTGAGTAAAGTCCTGGTTTAGCTACCTTGCAGCGGAAGAACCTTTGTCAGCCAACAGGCTGTGTGTGTTAGTCGCTTAGTCACGTCTGACTCTTTGCGATCCCATGGACTGTAGCTTGCCAGGCTCCTCTGTCCATGGAATTCTACAGGCAAGAATGCTGGTGTGGGTTGCCATTCCCTTTTCCAGGGCTTCCCAACCCAGGGGTTGAACTCGGGTCTCCTGCAGTGCAGACAGAGTCTTTACTGTCTGAGCTACTAGGGAAGCCCTAGCTGACAGGCTGTAGCAGGATTTATTGCTTGGTGATGGTTTCCGGGCATGTTTGAGGCTCCTGGGATCATGTGATCCTGAATGACACATGGTGGTGGGGCACTGGCAAGGACACAGCAGGGGATGCTCTGCCTGATGGGAGTGTCCCCCAGTGCTGGGTGGGGTGGGTGATACATCTCCCTGAGTCTCTTGGTCTCCAACAGGTGTGGTGGCTGGAGGTGGCCGCATTGACAAGCCCATTCTTAAGGCTGGCCGTGCCTACCACAAGTACAAGGCAAAGAGGAACTGCTGGCCGCGGGTGCGGGGTGTGGCCATGAATGTAAGTAGCCCAGAAGTGGACAGTGGGGTCAGTATTCAGTGTATGAGGGCTATGAGATGAGGTGGACAAGTTCCTGCCTGGAGTGTCTCCTCTTTATGGTGGGAGATCTGTGCTGTGAGGTGGCTGATAGTTTGTAAGTGCAGGCCGGTTGATTCTGCGGGTTCCCAAGCCTTCCTGAGGTAGATCAGGGTCAGCTCCACCTCACCATCACCTCCTTCTTCCTGCAGCCTGTCGAGCATCCCTTCGGAGGTGGCAACCACCAGCACATTGGCAAACCCTCTACTATCCGCAGAGACGCCCCTGCTGGCCGGAAAGTGGGTCTCATTGCTGCCCGCCGGACTGGGCGTCTCCGGGGAACCAAGACTGTGCAGGAGAAGGAGAACTAGGGCTGTGGCTCAATAAAGCTTGTTTCTTTTCACAACCGAGCTGTGTGTTTCTGTGGTTTCAGAGGGAAGGGTCCCCTCTCCAAGGAGTGCCCTGCGCACCAGGGAACAGTGGAGGCCCTAGATGGTGAGGCTGCTGGGTGGCTTCGCACCTTGCCTCTTCTAAATCCCACCTGCCCGCCCCCCCCCTCCCCCAACCTGACATGTAGAGCAGCGAAGCCCACTCACAAGGAATGTAATCCGTGAATTCTGTTCATTACCTTCTTGTCTTGAGGGTCTGGGTGCTACTGGGTGTGAGTGGTGCCCCTGGTGCCACAGGCTGAGGGCCAGGGTGTCCTGTCCTGCAGTGGAAGGACCAGACTGACTGCTCCACAGACGGGCTTCCTTTTTGGTGATGGCTCACCCGCACCTTGTCTGGGACTTAAATGACGGACTGGTCAAGGCCGATAGGGCCGTGCTGGCTTGGGCACCAGTGTGGAGTGGGGGCCCGTCAGGGACAGGACCATGTACTTACTCAGGCCAACTAGAGTGCCCTGCCCCGGTGGATCTGCTTGTGAGCTGATGTCAAAGCAAGAGCTGCAAGCCACTGTGGGTAACTGACCACAGGAGTGAATGGTAAGCAGACTAAGGGGTAAGGTAATGGTAAGGGGACAGTAAGGGTGGGTGGTGGATGGCTGGCTCAGGAAGGATGCTCCTCTATAGCCTGGGTGGAAGGCACTGGCAGCCACCTTCCTAAGTGGTGCACAGCAGGGGGTCACCTTGGCTGTCTTGGGATGCTGTGTGGCAGGGTCCCTCCTGGGTGAGAGGGTGTCACTGGTTCCAGGTGGCTCTGTTCTCATGGTCCATGCCTGTTGCTAGTGTGAACTTCAGTTTTGGTCTTGCCTTTCTGGGGCCCCACCTCCCCTCAGCCACCCACGCCTAGATATTGTTGCTGACTCCTGTGTGATGAGAGGACTGTAAGCTTCCTGGAGAAAAGGGCACTGGACATGTTTGCCAGGACATAACTTGCTTTACTGGGTAAAGCCTGCGGCTTTGTCCAGGGGGTTGGCCAATAGGGAGGGTTTGCTTCAAGAGCATTAAGGCCCCATTTACAGGCGTTGGTGCTGGGGGCAGTGGTTTAAAACAAGGGCAACTCTGACCAGTATGTGTGTTAGTCGCTCATTCGTGTGTGAATCTTTGCAGCCCCATGGACTGTAGCCCCCCAGGCTCATCTGTCCATGGAATTTTCCAGGCAAGAATATGTGAGTGGGTTGCCATTCCCTTCTCCAGGGGGTCTTCCCAACCCAGGGATGAAACCACTTTACAGGCAGACTCTTTACTCTTTGAGCCACCAGGGAAGCATTTTCATTTTCTGAGTGATCACATGGCCCTGAAGAAGGGTGTACTTTTCTGCCTTTCAATTCAGTTGTGTCTGACTCTTGGCAACCCCATGAACTGCAGCATGCCAGGCCTCCCTGTCCATCACCAACTCCGGAGTCCACCCAAACCCATGTCCATTGAGTCGGTGATGCCATCCAACCATCTCATCCTCTGTTGTCCCCTTCTCCTGCCCTCAATCTTTCCCACCATCAGGGTCTTTTCAAATGAGTCAGCTCTTCGCATCAGGTGGCCAAAGTATTGGAGTTTCAGCTTCAACATCAGTCCTTCCAATGAACACCCAGGATTATCTTTAGGATGGACTGGTTGGATCTCCTTGCAGTCCAAGGGACTCTCAAGAGTCTTCTCCAACACCACAGTTCAAAAACATCAATTCTTCGACACCCAGCTTTCTTCACGGTCCAATTCTCACATCCATACATGACCACTGGAAAAACAATAGCCTTGACTAGATGGACCTTTGTTGACAAAGTGATGTCTCTGCTTTTTAATACGCTGTCTAGTTTAGTCATAACTTTCTTCCAAGGAGTAAGCGTCTTTTAATTTCATGGCCGCAAGCACCATCTGCAGTGATTTCGGAGCCCAGAAAAATAAAGTGAGCCACTGTTTCCCCATCTATTTGCCATGAAGTGATGGGACCAGACGCCATGATCTTAGTTTTCTGAATGTTGAGCTTTAAGCCAACTTTTTCACTCTCCTCTTTCACTTTCATCAAGAGGCCCTTTAGTTCACATTCTGCCTTTAGCTGTAAATAAAACGGCCTTCCTGATCTTAGTTGTCTAAGGAGTCTCTCTAGGGAGAGTGTCACTGAAAAGAATTTTTGGAATCTTCTGCACCAAAAGCCTCCGCCTAGCTTTCTTTTTTTTTTCATTTATTTTTATTAGTTGGAGGCTAATTACTTTACAATATTGTAGTGTTTTTTGTCATACACTGACATGAATCAGCCATGGATTTACATGTATTCCCCATCCCGATCCCCCCTCCCACTCCGCCTAGCTTTCGTTGCAGAGTCGGCGTCGTGAATCCAGATTGCCAACTGGCGGCAGCTTTTGGACCTAAGGCTTAGCTTTTCTGTTTCTCTAAACGGCCGACCACCGAGACGCGAAGTCCTGTTCCCAGAGCGACCGGAAGGCGCCTCCTGCTTGGATCTCGGAGGAAGGATCGTAACTTCCGGTCAGGTTTAGGTCTTTAGGGCCTAGGGAGCAGGCGGGGTCTGGTCTGTCAGCCGCTGTTGGGCTGCGCTGAGGTGAGGGTGGGAGGTTGGGTGCGGGGGCGGCCGCGGGGCGCCCGGGACGCGGGGCGGGGACGTTCCCTCGACTCCAAATCTCCTGCCGAGGGTCCCACCCGAAGGCCTCGAACCCCACGGGTCCCTCCCGGCTGGGGTCGTTCCTCGCCGGGCCCCTGTTCCGCGGTGGAGCCTCCGTCCCCGGCCCCAAGCCCGTCTTGGTTTCTCCACCGGACTTCCCTTCTGGGTCGCCCCAAGGGGCTGCTTCCGCGGAGTGAGATGCTGCCGGTAACCAAGCGCCGCGCGCGCCGGCCTCACCCCACCGTGGCCCTTCTCCACCTCCGCCTCCTGACTCGGGGGCCTCCAGCTGGCCGGGGGTGGTTCACGCCCGCGCGCAAGCTCCTGTCACCTCCCGCTGCAGCCCCCTCCCCATCCCCCCTGCGGGCCCCGCCCCCCGCACGTTTCTCCTCCCCACCCGTTTCTGCTTCAACGCTCTGAGACCTTTCTCCCCGCAGCAAGATTTCTATTTCTCTTCTCTGAGGCTTTTATTCAAGGTCTGAAACCTTTTTATTTGCCCCATAGGTTTCTGCTTTTAATATGTCGCTTTAAAAAAAGACTTTTTGCTTGTACACAGATATGCAGGAACATCCTTGTGCGTCGTCTTTGGTGCATTAGCAAGAATTTCTAAAGGGCACGTACCTTCAATTTGGTTTCCAGTCCCAGGGCTTCGAAGAGTTTCACCTCTGCCAGGTAGGGCCAGGTGGGTTTTCAGAGTGACTAGCAGACTGTCTGCGGGACTCTGGGAGTCCCTGTTTCTCAGGCCTTCGTGTGATCAGTCTTCAGTCGTGTCCTGACTCTTTGTGACCCTATGGACTGTAGCCCACCAGACTCTTATGTCCATGGGATTTTCCAGGCAAGAATACTAGAGTGGGTTGCCATTTCCTTCTCCAGGGGATCTTCCCCACCCAGGGATTAAACCTGCGTCTCCTGAGTCTCCTTCATTGCAGGCAGATTCTTTACCACTGAGCCATGGGGGGAAGCCCAGCGGTAGATATTGTGGAGTATTTTATGTATTTTCCCTTATCTGTGATGATGAGAAGTCTTGTTCTAATTTGCGTTTTCCTAATTCTTAATTACATGGAAAATCTTCAGATGTTTATTGGACAGTTTGATTTCTTTATCTGATTTACTAGGTTTCATCCTGGCTTAGTTTGTGTGTGTTGAATGGCCTTATTTTTTATTTTTAAATAATTATTATTTTTGGCAGCATCGGGTTCTCTTTGTGGCATGCATGATCTCCCTTGAGACCAGCCGGCTTCTTTTTAGTTGAGGCCAGTGCTCAGTAGTTTCGGTGCTTGGCCTTAGTTGGGCAGCGAATGTGGGCTCTTAGTCCCTTGACCAGGGCCCGAATTGAACGCAGGCCCTCGGCAGTGAAAGCGTAGTGAAACCACTGGATCACCAGGGAATTCTGGTTTAAATATTGATTTTTGTTTGTTTGTTTCCTTTTGTATTTTTAAATATATCCTATGTATATCTTTTATTGTTGCTGCTGTTTAGTTGCTTAGTTGTTTCTGGCTCTTTGTGACCTGGTAGACTGTAGCCTGGAAAATCCCATGGCAGAGGAACCTCGTGGGCTGCAGTCCATGGGGTGGCGAAGAGTGGGACACGACTGAGAGACTTCACTTTCACTTTTCATTTTCATGCACTGGAGAAGGAAATGGCAACCCACTCCAGTGTTCTTACCTGGAGAATCCCAGGGACGGCAGAGCCTCGTGGGCTGCCGTCTATGGGGTCGCACAGAGTCAGACACGAGTGAAGCGACTTAGCAGCAGCAGCAGCAGCAGACTGTAGCCCATGAGGCTTCTCTGTCCATGGGATTTCCCAGGCAAGAATACTGGAGTGGGTAGCCATGTCCTTCTCCAGGGGATCTTCCCGACCCGGATCAAACCTGCCATGTCCTGCACTAACAGGCAGGTTCTTTACTGCAGAGCCACCTGGGAAGCCCGTAACTTTTATTAAATATGTTTGAAAATATCTTCTCTCATCATGCCATTTGCTTTTAATTTTGTGGTGTCTCATACAGAAGTTTTTTTTGATAGAGTAAAATTAAGCAATTTTTTCTGTTTGGATAGTGTGTTTTCCATATTATTTTCTTATAATAGCTATAAACATTTTTAAGAACACAGGCCTTCAACCTGTCTGAAATACATTATTGTGTGCCGTGGAAGGCAGGATCTAATTTTACTTGCCTGTGGAAAATCAGTTGTGCCAGCCCCATTTATTGAATGGTGCACTGCTGTTAACATTGCAAGTGTGTCGTAGTATATGCATGGAGCTTACGTAGGAGATTATATTGTATTTTGATACCCAGTTGAGCATGATCCTGGAATCAGTTCCCTATGGACAGTTAGGGACAACTCTATTTCACTTTTATGACCACAGCCCTATGATAAGATTTGATATCTGGTAGGGCATGGCTCTGCCTGAGTTCTTCTTTGGCATTTCCTTGGTTAATCTTAGGTCATGACTCTCATGATAGTTAGTCACTGTGCTCAGATATCATGATATGTTGTTTTTTATTTTGGCTGCACTGGGTCTTCCTTGCTGCTTGGACTTTCTCTAGTTGTGGTGTGCAGTCTTCTTGCAGTGGCTTCTCTTGTGGAGCATGGGCTCTAGGGCTTGTGGCCTCAGTAATTGCAGCTCTTGGGGTCTAGACTAAGCAGACTCAGTAGTTGTGACACATGGGCTCAGTTGCCCCTTGGCACTTGGGATCTTCCCAGGCTAGGGATTGAACCCATGTCTCCTGCACATGGATTCCTAACAACTGGATCACCAGGAAAGTCCTATTGCAATTTTGATTGTATAGAAGTAATAGCTTCATTTGGGGAGAACTGACATTTTTATATTGAGTCCTGTTTATGAACACTGTCTACTTTTCCATAGGTTTTTTTTTTTTTTTTTTAGTGTCCTTCAGTAAAGTTTTGTTCATAAACACACATGTTTTTTGTTAGGTGCCGTGTAGTTTTCGTAGGTTTTGTGAAAGCCGTTTTTTGGTTGCTGATTACTGGTACACAGGAGTAATATTAACTAGTTTGTTGACCTTCTATGTGGCAGTCCTGTTGAACTTTATCATCCCAACACTTGGCTAATACTCTTGCATTTTTTATGTAGATGGTCTTATCATTCTCAAATAATGATGATTTTGTCTATTCTCTTCCAGTCTTTATGGCTTGTGTTTCTTTTCTTTTCTGGTTAAGCGATAGCATTCAGGATCTCAGTTCCCTGACCCAAGATTGGACCTGTGCTCCCTAACCACTGAACTATGGCATCTGCTTTTTCTGTGACTTAATGCATTGACTGGGGTCTTTGGTGCGTTGTTACAGCAGCGGAGTGAGGAAGCAAGCATCCCCATCTTGTCACTGACCAATGCAGACACTTCTCTTGTGTTACCTTAGGGTTGCTACCAACCAGATTCGAGTGCTGGGACTGCTAGGGGCTAGGCTTACACTCTGAAAACCACTGCTGTATGTGTGATATGTAGAGATGTGTTCCCTTTTTTGTTCTTTAAAATATTGTGTCCTTTTCCATCTCTTCCCATTCGCCACATTGGACTTGCCAGAGGTTATTAGCATTTTTAAAGAACCAAGGTTGAGATTATTTTCTCTTTCTTTAAATCATGTTTATTTTCTTCATCTTCTTTCCTTGAGTTGCTTTCTTATTCTGTGTCTGGTTTCTTGTTTAATGCTTAGATTATTCTTTCAGTCCCTTTGTTAAAATAAATTTGTTAAGGATGCACATTTTTCCTCAGGTAAGCTTTATTTCCATTTTCCCTTCAGTCTCTGTTCTTATGTTTTTCTTGAAGGGGTACTTTGAATCAGATAGTAGAACCACAATATGAATGTTTGCCAAAAGATACCAGTCTTTGGAATTTTTTGAAACTTTTTTTGCTTGGTATGTGATATTTCTTATAATATTCAGCTTACATTTTGAAAAAAAGAATGTGTATGTATTCTTTATGCTTTAAGTAGGTATTCTCTCCTTGATCCACTCACTTCTGAGGAAAGTGTGTTAAAATCTCTCATTGCAGGGGAGGGTTTGTATATTTCTTATTGGCACTGCACTTAGCTCTGACTATACTCTGAGGATTTGTTGGTAGACACATGTGTTTATAATTACAGCTTTTTGTTGGATTTTTCCTATTATTAAAATGCAGTGTCTGCTTTTATTCCTAATAATAATTATTGGTTTGAGTTTTGTTTTGATTAGTATAAATATTGCTAAACCACATGCAGCAATGCATATTAAGTTTGCAAATCATGTGCTAAAGGGAGGAAGCCAGCGCAGAATATAGAAGGAATAGCTAGTCTGATGGAGTCCCCAGGGCCCTGGTCTGTGCTGGTGAGAGGAGGGCAGCGGCTCTCCCTTGGGAGGTCAGGAAGCAGGCAGAGCCCGCAGCTGCCAGAGGGCTGACAGCTGGTTCTGTGGGCTGAGCCCCTTGAGCGGTTGCTGGGGTCCAGCCTCGGCAGGATCCAGGGGATACCCTCAGGATGAATGGCGTCGGCGAGAGAGAGAAGACACATGAGACCAGCCTTGATAGGGCCAAGTCTGCGAGGGAGAGAGAGAGAGAGAGAGAGAGAGAGTGACCAGACGGGGGGTGCAGAGTCTGGCAATGCTTTATTTTTTACCATGGCTTTCATACCCTACATTAGTACATTTCTAAGGGGAAGATAGTTTAACATACATCAGCTTGTTCTTCATGAAACCAGGGTGTTTTCTGCATACTTCTTTGTTTATGAGGGCCTTCTACATTATCTTCTGACCTTGGGGCCTATTAACATTTTATGCAAGTCAGGTGAATGTAAACCTATTTTCTGTTTCTATGGTGACCTTAACTGAAAGGTAGTGGTCTCATAGGGCAACAGTACAGAGTAGAAGTATAACCTTGTTAACACAAAAATTACTCCTTCTGCAGGAGTTGTCAGTTTTCGTTTATCTAAGAAGTTTACCCCAGACTGACTCTGGGACTTTGGTGAGGCAGCCTCTGCCTAGCACTCCTGGCTGACAATTAACAACCATCTCATTGTTACCACACTAAGGCTAAGCTCTTGGTTTCTACAACCTTAGCACATTAAAAGCAAAAACACAGCAAGCAAAACACAGCAAGCAAATGTTAATCCAATAGCTACTTTTAGAATAATTTTTCTTGTGTTTTCTAATAGGGCTTCCTCACCCCCCGAAGGGCTCTATGTCTGTTAGGGCCTTTATATGATCAGGTTCTTTATGTTATTTTATGATTAGGGTATTATAAGCAATCATGCATATTAGTACCAAGGGCATAAATGCATTTGCCAAACAAACTAAAATACTAGCAAAGGAGTTTAAATTAAAACACTCCTTTCACCTTGGATAATCTCATAAAATACTACTACCCGGGAAACTTATTGATTAAAGTTCTAAATTGATTCTTATTTGGGAAGAGATCAGGGAAGGCCTTCTGCCTGTGTCACAGAAATAAGGGAGTAGTCTATTGAGGCAGGCATCAGAAAGACAGATATCATCTTTAAGGTGAGCGCCGGGGGCAGCTTTTCGGAATCCCTGAAAACCTGATCTGCCTTGCCTGTCAGGCTTTCTCCCTCATGGCCTTGTCATGGGTAGGGTCTCGTGTGCTGGCTCCCCGCATCTCTCCCTTTTTTTACTTTTTAAGACAGCCAGATGGATCTCAGTCGCGAGCTTCTGAGTGCTCTGCTGGA